TTATTATTATTATTATTATTATTATTATTATTATTATTATTATTATTATTATTATTATTATTATTATTATTATTATTATTATGTGTTTAAATTTTTGTCGGGATATACTTGCACAGCCTAACACAGCTCCTTCTTTGAATTCTACTCAGAAGTAAATTTAATTGGGTTCAGTGGGTCATTCCTAGGTAATGTTTCTAGAATTATAGCTTTAGTGAAAAAACAGAACACTAAAACACTTATTGAAAGAATAACTTCAGTTATGCATCAGGTATATCCCATTCCAGCTTTCTTTGTTTAGATAATGTAATCCTGGCACACCAAGAAAAATACACAGAAGGTTTTTTGTTGCTCCTCCACTTCCCACACTCAATGACTGTACTTATCTAAACAAATGATAAACCCTGGTATATATTTAATAATTTAGCATAAGCAAGTAAAGCTCCCTACCAGTTTGCAACCATTACAAATAACAAAAGTTACAGGGTGAACTTTGTTCTAGGTGTGTCTCAAGGGAAAACAAACAGATAAGGTTTCAGTGCTGTCCACAGACAACCATCAGTAAGATATACTTTGATCAGATATACTGAGCAAGGGGCTGGACTCTATGGACTTATAAACCCTTCCAACTCCAGCATTCTATGATTCTAGTTTTATAAGATTATTCCAGCCGATTCTTGTTTATACAGGAATAAATTCCACCCCTAATTCTTAGTCCAGAGGGCCCTTCTGCTATTGCCGTCTTAGCTCCTGAAATGCCTCCTTAACTTGTTCCAACAAAGATCTGGGTGACAGAAAGACCGGTGATCCTGTTTGCTGCTCCTCATAGAAACACAAAGGCATCAATCTGTTTCTAGAATTCTTTGCATACTTTTGTCTGATCAGTGACTGAACAAGCAGCTCAAGACATTTTAATTCACAGGAATGACTGCAGGGATACTCCAGTGAGAACAGCCTTACCAAAGCCAGGTTTTGTGACTGTTTCATGAAATAAATCCATCCTTACACCTAAATTGTACAAACAAAGCAGGATCCTAACAACCATGTTTGTGGCATTTCACTTGGATTTTTTGAAAAAGAACAAAACTCCCACAAACCCAGAGGCTAGTACAGAAAACAGGGACTTGTGCCATTGACACATATATATTATATTATTTAACTTTCTATGATCCAGAAATTCTCTTAGTATTTCTGTTCAGATGTTGCATGTTCACACATGTTGAAAGGGACCACACAAACTAATGAATAAATAGGATGAGCAAAGCTCACCTTTTCGTCGACAGACTTCATCACGCTTACAACTTGCTTTACCACAAGTTCCAGAGGCTGTCTCTCTGCATCCTCTTCAAATGTAAACAAATAGGAGTCCTGGGGATAGGAGAGAAAAAAGAGCATACTTATATGATATAGTTACCCTTTTTTCAAGAATATTATGAACACTGAAGTTCACAAAACCATTCTAAGAAAACTCTGATTATCTGAGAGTTAGCAAAAAATGTACCTGCTGGAGCAGCCAAGAAATAGAGGCACTTGGAAATACTGCACCTAACAATAACAACATATGACTATCAATATATGCAAGAAGAATCCTTGTTTCTGAACTCGTGAGTTCTGCAGGTTTACTACTACTTATACTAGAGTGCAGAGGCTGACAAACGTACTGCAGATAAAAACTGTTGCATTGTTTTTGAATGCATTTTTTGTTACAATGGATTATTGAGGGTTGTAAGCTTTAATTTTGTGTAAACCGCCCAGTGTAGCACTTGCACTAATGGGAAAGTACATAAATTGAATAAATACATAACTACAACAGGTAAAGGTAAAGGTTCCCCTTGACACTTTTTGTCCAGTCGTGTTCAACTCTAGGGGGTGGTGCTCATCCCTGTTTCCAAGCCATAGAGCAGTGGTTCTTAACCT